GTGAAGATTGGTCTACAGCATCGTTTGAGCACTGAATATCGGGTTCCAAACCTGGTGTAGTCATTCTTGGTGTTTTCTACCCGGTGATCTTATTGCAGACCCGATATTAAGAAACTTGAAGGTAAAAATAGAAGATCTTCTTCGCATAAGTAGTCACCGTGCTAAACTGATTTGCGCGCGAACATCACTGGCTATGCGCATGCGTCTAGCTATCTCATGGGATCCCTGGGGCAATGATGACGAGATAGAATCATGGCTTTGAAGCCGTTCTTTGAAATGTCACGCAACAATATCCTTCCTAAACTCTCTTGAAAAGGGAAGACGTTGCGTGACGTATAGCACGGTTTCGAGCCAGTGAACGAGACTGTAGTAAATACGGAAGCGATGAGAGGTAAGCAGCTAATGATTCTCTTTATAAATAAAAGAGCCCTAAAATGTTTTAATTTTTTTTTCATCAAAAGCATCTTCGAAAGTTCAATCATTGTAAAACGATATAAAAAGAATCATAGATAGAACTTGACTATTTCACGATGTAATGTCCTCTTGACGCTATACACGGCTTTCAAAAATGGCGGTACAGTACGCTTGTTCGCTGGAGGACTGGAGACGAGAAACATGGAAGTGAGGCATCAAAGGCCAAACAACAGCGTTCTCTTCAGCGTGGCTGTAATTATTACTGTTTTTTGTGTCTTTTTATCTTCTTTCCATCGTGAAAATACTGAGAAATGACATCTAATATCAGCTTAAGCGAAGATGACATTCCTGGTGCCTCCCTAAAAGGTCGAAATGCTTCAGAATTAAAAAACGATGAACTAAAATTTTGGTTGAAATGTAGAGGAGACTCTGGGAAAGGACTTAAAACAAAAGCAGAACTTGTGAAAAGGTAAGATACACGAAGAGGTCGATCAGTGAACTAGTATGCCTGCCTCCTGAAAATCAAGTTCTAGCTTCACTCTTCAATGTAGTTGATGTAAGTTCAATCAAAACAGTTCAATATTTTTTACAGAGTCGAAGAATTCATCAAGAATGGTAAAGACAAACAAATCGTGGATCCCGATCCAAATCAACTGTACACGCGAAGAAAACTTTCTTTGACCAAGTCTACTTCTAGTAATTGTTCCAACGAGCCTCGAGTACGATCGGTAAAATATCCTGAAGAAAACTGGGGTACTTCTCTAGAGAAAATGCCACTGTTTACAAAGGCTGAAATGGACGAGCACATTGTAAATTCTGGTAAAAAAATCGCGAACAAAGAGAGCACAAGCGTTCCAACCAACTTGAGGAAAGCACAGACTTTTCTTCAAGATGAGTATCTTCACGAAATTATAACAACAAGTGATCAACGAGGGTTCTATTTTAAAGCCAAATGCTCTCACAGTTTTAAAAAGAGTGATGCCCCTCATGACCTTAAGCTTGCAATATGCATTATATCTGGTAAAGTGTTGCATGCATTTTGTAGTTGTGTCGCTGGCACCGTTGGATATTGCAATCACATCTTAGCTTTAATGCTAAAACTTTGCAAGTATACTTTGTATGACTGTAAGTCGACGAAGGATCTTTGTAAAGATAAAGATGAGACTGAAGGTCTAGCTTGTACTTCAGAACTACAAAAATGGCACAGAAAGGGAGGAGGCTCTAACATTTCACCACAGCCCATCTCCAGTGTGATAGTAAATAAAACTAAATGCGAAACTAGTTCTACTAGAACTTCTAAAGATGGAGGAGTGAAGTCACTTCTTTATGAAGCAAGGATAAGTGCAGTATGTCATGAAGAAAAAATTGAACAATTCAAGCAAGATTTGAGTAAAATTTATGCAAACATGGGACTATCTCAAATGGCATCAGATACTAGACAACACAACATGGTGGACACCAAATTTGGTAAATGCCCAATAGGTTCCTTTGGATCCTATCAGCTTTTATTTACTGAATCTAATTTTTCAGCCAAAGCTGACTTGAGTTCAGTGCCACGTAGGATTGAAGCACTCAATTGTGAACAATTTCCAAGGTTTCCCCACATTGAAGAGGAACATATGAATATTCCAGATACACTTTCCACTGAAGAACAACAATTTATCACATCTCTTACAAAGGATGAAAATGAAATCAATGACATTGAAGTTAACACCAGGGCCCAGGCTGATTGTGAGGAATGGAACAAACAGCGATGTCATCGTTTTACTGCATCTAAATTTCATCTGATCAGCCACAGAAAAAGAAACCA